CTCTATCTCAAATTGATACACAGTGAACCCTCGTTTATCGCGGTTAATCGGTTCTAGACCCTACCGTGATAAATGAAATTCTGCGAAGTAGGATTCCTTATTTGTAAATCAAATATTTTCGTAGTTAGAGCATAGAGGACATGAAAAAACACCCTTTAGTCACCATTACACTCGTATTACCCAATTTATTAAACGAAAAAGGGAAAATACAGTAAAACATTTTGGACGTTACAATGATCATTTATTATTTACTATATTATTTATGGCATCAAGCGTGTACAGTATGAGCCAATCAGTGGCAGTAATGACAGAGCATGCGCTGTTACGCAAAAACCGCGGTAGTGAAGCCGCAGAAGTCGAAGCGCGAAGTGGCGAGGGTTCACTGTATAGCATAAAAACAATCCAATCAAAGCCCTAAAAGGCTTATTTGTAGAAAATGTCCATCTAATTCTAAAATAAACTTGAAATACAAAAGATTTAGAATAGGCAAAACAACTTTGAGAAAGAACAAAGTTGGAGGTCTGACATTATCAGATTTCAAGAATTTCTATAAAACTCCAGTTATCAAGATAGTGTGCCATTTGGCATCAAAATAAACAAATAGATAATTGAAACAGAAATACCTCATGTGTATATGGACAGCTTGTTTTTGATGAAAATGTAAAGGCAATTCAGGAGAGAAAAAAATAGTCTTTCCAACAAATGATGCTGACACATATATGTTTTAAAAACTTAATTTCAACTCAAACCTTATACCTCAAACATTCAAATTTACCACCATAGATTTGATTCCAACTCATAGCAATCCTATAGGGTAGAACTGCCCCTGTGGGTTTCTGAGACTGTAACTTTTTACCGAAGTAGAAAGCCTCGGCTTTCTTTTTAAAAATTTAAACACTTTTATTGACATACAACTCACATATACAATTCAGTTGTTTAAACATCATGAAAAGAGGGTGCAATCATCACTATAATCCATTTTAGAACATTTTATTCTTTCTTGTATTCATTATTATTAGCTCCAATTTCCCCCAACTCCCCGTACCATAACCCTAAGAAATTATTAACCCAGTTACTGTCTCTATGGACTCCATAAAAAGAAAAGCATACCCAAAAAATAACAAAATAAAACTGAAAAAATCTTAGTTGAAAAGAAAGCAGAATAATAATAAAAATTACAACAAACATAAAATGGGTCAAAAGTAAGAATGGTAAAGTATTAAATTTTAACATAACCACCCCAGCATTAATCCATGTTCCAATGTACTCTCATGCTATTCACATCCCTGGTCTATGGTCAGAGGCAATTAACAAGAGGCTTAATCCACATGGGTACCCTGAAAATGGATTTTGGGCTTTCACTGCAAACTGGGTACTCAGACTTTAAGATCAACACAGTTCCCTCCTCTGTTCTGGATTTTATTATTTACAATCCTAGGGTCACATAGGCAGGTGTGCTTCTTCTGTATTAACTTAGCTGACACTTACATGACTGCTTGTTTTAAGACACACTTTTAAGATCTCAGACACAATTCTTTTTTATTTTTTAGAGTTTTATTGACATATGGTTCATATATTATACATTTCCATAGTTCCGTCATATTAAAAAGAGTTGTATAATCATTACAATCACTTCCATAATATTTTCTTCCCTCTTGTATTCATTATTAGCTCCCTATTTCCCTCCAACCTTCCCACCTTCCCTAGTGCCCTCAATAAGTTCCTAATCCAGTTTCTCTATATATAGCTTTACTCACCCTGGATTTCATAGACTAGGAAATATACAAAAAGAAAAAAGGAGGGGAAGAATAATAACAGTAATAAAATTAACCAGTGGAAAAAACCCAATCAAGAATCAAACAGGGAGTATTAAACATTTGAGAAATTTTAAATGGATCAAAAGGGAGATCAAATGATCAGGTGTCACCTTTTAACCTAGTTACATCTGCCATTATTATCAAGTTTACAACATTCTCTGTCTGATAGCAATGCTAGTCACATCCCTCAACTATGGTCACAGGGTCATCAGAGGCTTAATACATGTAGTGACCCTGCAAATGGACTTGGGGTTTCCATTGTTATCCATTGCCTTCTGCAAATTAGGTGTTGACAATTTACGCTCTGATACCATTTCCCCCTTGGATTTGGATTTTATTATTTATTATCTTTGGATCACACAGGTTGGTGTGCTTCTTCCATGTGGACTTAGTTGATGCTTCACTTAGATGGCTGCTCGTTTGAAGACAAGCCTTTAAGACCCCAGACACGAGTCTTTCTGATGGCCCGCACTACCTAATTTCTTCACCACACTTTGCTATAGGCCCATACTTTCAGTGACTTTTCATGAAGACAAATATTCATCATGGCCATATCATAGGAACCAACCATTCTTAGATTAGGATGACAATTGTTAGCTCAACATCCATTCTTATATCTATGGTTTATATATATGTGCTGCCGAAGTGAGCATTATCTATGGTTTATATATGTCCTTGGGCCACTCTAGAGGTATCATTATCATTTTATTGAGGAATATTATAAATCTTCCCCATGGGCATATGGTAATTCTGTTAATAGTATTATTAATTTAGTGAAAGGTATAAAATATTTAAACTGTTGAGAAAAGAAAAGTATACATGTATAGGACAGCTTTTTAGACTAAAATACAGATTGTTGATTTGTATAAATTAAACATGTAAGTGATTAGACACTATGCAAAAATAAGTATGTGGAGAGGGCAAAACTTTTAATAATGCTCATTCACAAGGACAGAACTATACCTGCTGGACATGTCATAAAAAAGCAGAGAGTATGAAAATAGCAAACATATATGGTAGCCATAAGTTGCCATTTATTGGGACCCTCAAACAAGAGTTTTGAGCCAAAGTCCAATGACTTCCAAATCCATAGCCTTGGGACAGTAGTCATGTGCTTTTTCTCATGCTCGGGCCTTTCAGCCTTTACGTCCAAGAGAGGTTTTCAGTTCCTTTAATCTGCTACAGGTGTGCTTATGGTAAAGTACAGTTTGCTTGGTGGAGTTTCCAAATGAAATCTTTCTTTTGTGGCTGTGAAGGGTTTTCTGCAGCTCTAAAGGGCAGAGTGTATCTATAGCATGTGCCTTGGGTAACAAAGGGCTGGATAGGAACAAGGTAAAAAGTGCTCAATTGGGAACATAATACTGGACATATTCTCCCATTGTAGAACTGAAATTACCTTTTCTGAGTCAGCCATCCCCACCCCACCCCCTGCCAGGACTTGAATTTGCATTAAGGTTCATCAAGCACCCTTATAGGAGGATTTGTTGATTTGGGGTGACTGAAGAACAATATTATATAGCCGGGATGGATTGGTCTTTTCCCTCATTCCCCAACATGAGAAACTGACCCCAGCTGAGGTGAGCCTCTTCTTTTTTATTACCTTATACATAATCCAAAAATTAGATCTAAATAGACTATAGTCTTTAAATGTAAAACATAAAATAATAAACACTCTAATAGTAAACATAGGGGGAAAATAACTTAGGATCCCATGTTTCCCAAAGTAGGCGATACTGCCCCCTGGGGTACTAGAATGATCCAGGGGAGTTGCAAAAGCAGGTGCTTCCATGCTCATGGAAACAGCAATCAAGAGATCAAATTATTGTTTTGAGAAACGATGTACAAATGCGCTTTACACAATTGATGTGTGTATGGATTGGGATAACAATTGTATGAGCCCCTAATAAAATGTTAAAAAATTAAAAAAAAAGAGATCAAATTATTCCCCCAAAATAAACATTTTATTGGCAGCTCTTACAGATATCATACTCTTTTGTAGTTCAATCACATCAAGCAGTATTGTACAATTTTACTACAATCAGTTTCAAAACATTTTCTTCTTTCTTGAACACCTTGATATCAGCTCCCATTTACTCCATCCCTCCCCCACCACAGCACACCCCCCAGAAACCCTTATTCTACTTGTTGTCTCTATAAATTCATCAATCCTGGGTTTCATAACACCTCTTGGAAATGTTGAAAAGCAAGGATATTATTTTGATCACTAAATTATGCCTGACCAAAGCCATAGCATTTTCAATCATCTCATGTGGTGGTTGGACATTGAATAAGGAAGACCAAAAAGAATCAATGTATTTGAATTATGATGCTGGTGAAGAATATTGACAGTACCATGCACTGCCAAAAGAACAAACAGGTCTGTCCTGGAAGAAGTACAACCAGCATGCTCCTTAGAGGCAAGTAGAGTGAGCCATCATCTCACATATTTTGGAAATGTTGTCAGGAGAGACTAGTCCCTGGAGAAGAACATCATTCTTGGTAAAACAGCAGGGCTGTGAAAAAAAGGAAGAACTTTGACAAGATGGATTGACACAGTGGCTACATTGATGGGCTCAAATATAGGAACAATTGTGAGGATGGCACAGCACCAGGTAGTGTTTCATTCATAGTGTTGTGCATAGGGTCACTTTGAGTCTGAACTGACCACAGTATTTAACAACAACACTTTATTCTAGATTATGGGCTATAGTATAAAACTTTTCATTTATGGGGGTGGGTACTGAGGGTTTTTTCCCCCTGAAAATGGGGCATAAGCCAAATAAGTTTGGGAACCTACGTGTTAGGCAAAGATTCCTTAGCTAAGATACACCAAAAAAATGATACTTTTTTATTATAAATTGAACTTTATCAAAATTAAAATTTTCCACTCTTCAAAAAAAATGGTTAAGAGAAATAAAAGAAAAATTATAGAATCTAAGAAAATATTTGTAAACCACATATCTAAGTCAGTAAACTTATATCCAGAAATATAAAGAACTCTAAATCTTTTTTTTTTAATCTTTAAGTGGCATGTTTATTAGACAAATGCTCACGACAGATTTTCACAACAGCAACAAATGTTTTCAGACTACATCTAATCTCTTTTACTAAGGAAAAAAAATGACAATCTCACACAGGTTGATGAATTTTTTTTTCATGTTTCCTGGAATGAAAGCAGTCTCTTCAAGCTGTTTCCTCTTCAGCTTTTTCCTCTTCTTCCTCTTTTTCCCCTTCACCTGACTTCATCTTCTTCACTTTTTCTTTGGCTAAATGTCCCCGATGGACTGATTGAATTTTGAGGGCAGCAAGCTCCTCTTTTTCCTTTTCTTCCTCTGAAGATTCTAAGGCTATGACTGGTGTCTCTTCCTCATTCACAGATTCCTGAGATTTTTCTTTTTCAGGCACATCTTGCTCAAGTGGTTCCTGCTCCTTGAATGCATGGTTGTTATAGAAGTGATCATCTACCTTAGCTCCCCATTCTGCTGGATCAAAATTGGTTTTCTCTCTTTTCTCTAGGAGGTTCTCAAAGTATGCTGCTGTAAAAGCTGGTATATTGTCTGGTTGCTCTCTCAGAATCTCTTGTGTCAGTCCTTCAAGAAGATTTCCAAATCCTTGTGGAATTCGGTAGTGGGTGTTGGAGAATGGAATTGACATCTCCTTGGAAGGAACTGCCTATTGTACCTCTGGTTTCTCTCCGAGCTGGTGCCGCTGGTTCCAGTTCAGAACTCTAAATCTGGATAAAAAGTTCCAACATTCTTCATTGCAGATATAGAAAAGCCAATCCTCAACTTTATCTGAAATGGTAAGAGACCCCTACTAACTAAAGCAATGTTGAAAGAAAAGGACAAAGTAGGAGTACTCACACCCTGATTTTAAAACATACTATTCAGTCACAGCAATCAAAACAGCTGGATACTTATATAACACTAGACACATAGACCAATGAATTTAAAGTCCAGAGATATACCCAAACATCTATGGTCAACTGATTTTTGACAAGGATGTTGAGTCCATTCAATGGGTGAAAGAAGAGTTTCTTCAACAAATGGTGCTGGGAAAATTGGGTTTCTTCATAGATCAAGACCCTTGGCTCAAAACACACACAAAAACAAATTCAAAATGAATTAAAGATGTAAATATCCAATTAAAACCATAAAATCTTTAGAAGATCAAACAGAGGTAATGTGTCAGCCCCAGCTTTCAACAATGGATTATCCAATATGATAGCGAAAGAACAAAGAGCAAAAAAATACAATAAATGACACCTCATAAAAATTATTAAAATGTTTGTCCAAAACCTATGGACAAGGGAACAACAAGTGATCTAAAATC